CCCTTAGCAAAAGAGGAATAAGCATGCAGGATGAGCAATTGGATGATCATACACACAAATCACCGGGGAGAGGAGTCCGGCAGAGGAGTAATCCAGCAAGAGCTGCGGATGCACACGAGGACCTGGAGGGAAAGTGCAATGTGCAGTCAGCAATGAAAACAAGGGGGAAGGGGAAGGAGGGGGAAAGTGCTCATGATCTGCTGGAAGAAGGAGGGGGTGCAATGGCAAAAGCACATGAATGAGTGAGTCCTCAAGGAAAGGTAAGCCCTGCAGCAGAAAGTTGCGTGTGTGGGGCAGGGGGGAATCGAAGACTATGAATTGGAAGTGTTAGAGCTGCTTCCTGCAGAGAAATGGCAAATACACCCACAGAAACTCAAAGGTAAAAAAAGAAAAAATCTTGCAAGAAAATCCAAAGATAGACTTTCCTTTGCACACAAGGAAGCTTTACTTCCAATTCACTTGCTGCTGTGCTTATCTCAATAAAATGCATTCAGCTATCCCAAGCTCTCAAAAAAACCTAGTGCACTAATAATTACAAAAAAAAAAAAAAGTTCACATTCCCTGAAGAAGGACATTACCATGAAAGCTCCAAAGAAACTTTGTCAGGCTATGCTTAAAGGAAAAAAAAAGGTGAAAAATGAAGTGTTTGCAGATGTAAGAGAATAGAAAGAAGAGCAAATGCAGAGAAGGGGTGAAAAAAGAAATAAAACAAAACCAGGGAAATACTGCTCATCTGGGGCTTGTTAAATGCTACATGACAGACAGGAAATGCTGATGGATTGCTTCATTGCATTGGGTGCCACACTTTCAGCATCCTTCTAGACTGATAACGTGTTTCCTTATCTAAAGGAAAAGGCACCTTTAGTGATGCTGAGGATGCTGGACTTTAGCAACCCTGCTGCAGATGGGTGAGCAGCAGCTGCAGGGCTTGCCAGCATGCCAGCAGGACATCCTTTGGGCTCCTGGCTTTTTTTCTTCCCTCCCTCTCCAATCAGACTAAATGAAATAGAGCTATTTGTGGGTTTACAAATGGCAACAGTTCAGCCTGCTCCATCCCCAGGTGCCAAAGGGTTGAAATAAGAGAAAACTCTTACAGAACATTTGTGCACTTTCCAGTTGCCACACAAGTAGCCGCAGGAACAACCCAAGACACGATTCAGCTTCTGAGCAGTCCCAGGAAAAGGGTTAGGAAACTACCTTCGCTCTTATTTTCAAGCAGGGGAAGCTAATGTGAAACTTGGCATGCTCAGGACTTGAAAGAAACCCCAAAAGTTGTTGGGTAGCAGCCAAGCATTCAAGCCAGCAGAGCAGAGGTTCCCAACACTGATGCTCTCTCATCCCCTCCCCACTCCAGGGCATCAGCAACTGCACCCAGCAAGATCCTCTCCTGAATTCCCTCCCTTCCCATTCAGGATCACATAACATCCCCGGGGCGATTGCTCACACGGAAAAGCAACATGAGGAAAGTATTTAATGCATGTTTATGTCTTTTAATATAGTGTAGCAGCTGGAATCAAAGGCAAAAACCCTGGGCCTCAGCATATGAGCATCATGACTCTCCGCAGAGCCCCCTTCTAATCACTGCCACTCTCTGGACCACAGCTTTAGAAATCAGGCACTAACCCCTATTGCCTAATTAGCAGAGCAGTGTAAAGCTTAGGAGCAGGCATATCTTCTTCCTCCCTAAGTGGCCACTGAATAAATGTTATATCCCCAGTTCACAGTCCCTTTTTACATTGCTGGCATTACCAGTCCTTTGTGTACCCACATGCTGTTACTTAAATTGCTTCCATGTTTTCATTACTTGCCCTCTGTGCTGTGTGTATTGAAACTCCTGCAAGAATGCTGAAGTGGTATTTCAAAGCACTGGGGACTACTGGAGATGTGGCTGGAAAAATTATGCAACAAGCTAAAGTGATTTTTCAAGTCCTGATAGAGTTTGCACCTCCTCAGGAGGAAAAATAAATTCTGGTGCTACTCCAGGAGGTGCAGGACAACCACTCCCACCCACCAGAGACATGAGAATGGCAGCTCAGTCTGGGAGGCCTGTGTGTATTCCCTGAATCCACAAGCAAGGTGGTAAACCCAAATAATGATGCTGCTCCCATGTGCAAGGGAAATGTGTATGTTGGGCCAAACTCTCCTGGCAAAAATCCATGGAGGACAGTGGAGTGATGCCAGCTGAAGGTCTAGCCCACTCATTTAAATGTGTTGTTCCTTCCTGCTGCTGCCAGTAGCTGCTTTTCTGGAGCTTGTGCTGATTAAAGCAACAGGCAATCAAACAGCCTAACGCTGAAATTTCAAAACCGCCAGAATCATTTAAACGTGACAATCACTTTTCCCCCCCCCCCCACCCCCAGCCACTACTTCAGCTCTTGGTGGTTCTGCAAGTACACATGGAAGGCTCCTGTGTGCTCTGCTCTCCCAGGGAAACAGAGGGTTGGACAAGAGAGCTACATCTCCATGCGAGTTTCAACTTGCTCTTTCCTCCTAATTATCTTCCCTGCAAAGATTTCTGTACCTGCCACAAGACACACGCGTTGGCCACGGAAGAAATTCTGCTGCCAGCACTGGAGCTTTTCTCCCACTCATTGCCAGCCTTCCCTTCCTGCAATGCCTTTCATCACCCCGTTGACACGAGACGTTCACGGCCTGGTCCTGAAACCCACGAGCTGAGAGGCAGCTGCGTGCAAAATCCCTCCGGCTGCAGGGACGCAGGTTATTTCCCACCCCGGTGATGCAGGCTGTAGGTCTCCAGGCATCAAGCCCCTTGAGATCAGAGCACCAGGGTCTTCCAGATCCCTGCTGAGGACATCTCTCAGCCGCAGCTGTGTCTCGGCAGCTGCCGCGCGCACGGCAGCCGTTGGGTGTTATGCTAATGGATGCACCGGAGCAGCAGCCCTCCACCCATCTGCTCACAGCATCCACCTGCTGGGTGGTAGGGTGGTTTTGTTTGGTTTTGGGGTTTTGTGTGTTTTTTTTTTTTTTTTTTTTTTTTTGGTGTTCATTTTAATGGCCAGATTAGACCAGTGCTGACCCAGAGCGCTCCCAGCCTGAGCACAGGGTGTGAACACAGCCCCAGCCAGCTCGGACCTCACAGCACAGGTGCAGGCTGGATGCAGCCACGTCTGCTTCTTTCAAACTCCTTATCCTGCTGCAATTAAAGTCTCACCCTGAGCATAAACACACTAACAAGGTGCATTTTTAGTTATTGTTCGCATTGGGCTTGTTTGGTTTTTTGTTTGGTTTTTCTTGCACATAACTTCCTTATACTTAGCTTTATTTATTCAACCTTTTCCAGTGACCCCCCACAGGAAAGACTACACCGTCCATACCCATCTGACTGGGTGATAAATAGAAATGAAAGCTCTGATTTCTATGCAGTCATTTCCTTCACAGTCGTTGCACGGTAGGCAGTGGTTTGCAATTCTTTTTTTCTCCCTCTGTGACCATGGAAGGATTGCTTGTGACACCTTTGCTGTCACCAAGCACAGTCTCAGACAACTTCTGCTTCCCCTGAGACCTCTGCAAGCATTCAGGGAGGAAAGAAAAGTCAATATAAGACACTGCTTGGTGCCAAGACAGCCCATCCTTCCCAAGAGGTGGGAAAATCCCTTCTTGGTGTGTTATAGGGCCAGACCTCTGCTGTGCTCAAAAGAGGAACTACTTTCATGTCCATAGAATGGACATGAAATGGACATGCCATTTAGCAAGATTCTGAGAAAAAAAAATATCCCCTCCCCACACACACTCTTCATCTTGTAAGAAAAGTACTATAGGATTGAGTGATGTTAATCTCCCTGGGCTCTGCCTTGAGTCAATGGAAAGTGTTGATGCTTCAAAAAGTAATTTTGAGTTATGAAAATTGTAGTGTAAGTCAGTCTGCTGAGGAGGATTTCTCCAGGGAGAGGTTGTGGCAATTGGCCTCCTCAAGGCTTCACTCAGAGCATCCATCAAGTGCATAATGTATGGGGAAAGAGTGATCAAAGCTTCATGAGTCGGAAAACCAAGTCATGCCCCAAGCTCTAATCAGGGGGTGCCTATATCTCAGATGAATTTGTCCAGGTTTTGGAGATACTCATGAGTCTTTCATCAAATCTGGCTTCCTGTCTGAACTCATCATGGTGCCCACATGCTACTAAGGAGCCAGAGGTGAAGTATTTGTATTTGACCTGACCAAAACTTTTTTCTGAATGACTAGGACAGAAAACACCAATACACCCAAAAAATCATGAGCAGTGTTGCTTAATACACTCAAATTAATTTCAAGAATTAGATGTAGGGGACATTACTGAAAAACCAAGCCAACAGCAAAACAAAAGGGTGCTCCAGAAAACAGCTCATACAAAGAAAGGATTTTCTTTCTTTTCCCATCCTTGACTAAATGAAAAGAAAAAAAAAAAAAAAAAAGATCCATTTTTACCCAAACACAAAGTACCAAGAATTTCTCTGCAGAAGGATATTTCAAGGAAATGATAAGCATCTGGGAGAAAATGAGACTTATAATGGAAGTATTTTCTGTGGCATAACTGTAGTGCCGCTCGCACAATGCTGTAATCAAGAATAATGGAGCCCTTCACCCAGAATACAGGAATGAATTCAATTGTTCACTGTGCACATACCTCTATTTTAAAAATGCAGTTGAATGCTTTAACTGCCAAAAGGCTCGAGCATTAGCGCTCAGGCACAAAGCAGTTTAGAAGTGGGCTCCTTCATTTCTCACTCGTGTAATGATTAATCTTAAAACTCAATTACACACAAAAATAGAAGAGGCCCTGTTGAACTTTTGATCCCTTCTGAATTGTTTCATCTGAAGGATAGTTCAAGATCATTCCTGATGCATATGTGGTGGTGCAGGATGACACTCGCCCTATGCTCCTCCATGGCCAAACCCTTCCAAGGTTACACCTTGGATACAAGCTGTTTGAGCAGGTTTATTCCTCCCTTTCTCCCTGTGCTCCCAGAATAAATTGGAAATATTGTGAAACAATAGGACTTACCTTCTTTTTGGAGTGTGATCTGTCCTCCTCTTTAGCTGTTTTGCTATTTTTCCCAGTTCTGGAAAGCTTCTGCTCCCCAGACTGCTTGATGGTGATTTTGATCTCGGGAGGGCAGATATAGTTCTCCAAGTTCTTTGGGGGCTTCTTCGCTCTCTTGGTGGTCTGGATCTTTAGCTTTAAACTCCCCTCTGTGAAGTTTGCCTCCTTGATGGAAAACTCCTGCTCCTCCAGGCCGTCTCCCGCCACCCACTTCTCGCTGTCTGCGTTGGAAGTGGAATCCACGTCTCTTCCGGAACCCAGCTCATCCTCTTCCTCTGGCTCCAGCCTCTCACTGCTCACCGGGATCCCTTTCCCCGAGCCTGCCGCAGGCAGCATCGTCTCCCCTGCGCAGCCAGAGACAGGAGGAGGCTTCGTGGAGGTGACAGCAGCAGGCAGAAAGTCTGCCTCGCCTCCTCTCTGCCGGGAGCTGCTCAAAGTCTCCCTGGGCTCCATAGCAATACCACAATGCCCTGGAGTTCTGTCGGAGGGAAGGGGAGTGCGGGAGGGGGTGAGGAAAGCAAGGGCAGCTGCGATCCCAGGGAGCGAATGGTCACTGTCCACCAAATTCAATGTCCCGGTCACCCAGAGGCTGCAAGTTGCTCAGAAGAGACCAAATCTGCCACTGTCAAAAGAAAGAAGAAGAAAAAGAGGAAGTTAGCACACATACAAACATTTCCAATGAAACAGGGCACAGGGCAAACTCAGGCTTCCCCTGCGGCATCCCAAGAGCTTTCCTTGAAGCAAAATGGCAACCAAGGCAAAAAAAAAAAAAACAAATACTCAAAATTTTTCACTAAATGCCAACATCTTCAACTCAACTTAGGGAATAAAGGAGGGGCCAGCCACTTCTCCACAACCACGAACCTCCCCATTACTTCAAAACTCTCACAGGGTTTTCAGAGGGGAAAAAAAGTAGAGGCAGATACTTGCCTTAGGTTAAACAATAACCCATTTATCAGAGCACAGAAAACATGGTGCTGCCTCTCTGAATCACCAAACTCTCTATTTCCCCATTTCCCAGGTATGAGAGAGAGATGCCCTGGGCTGCCAGGTGTTCTGAGGAGGGCCCTGCTTTGGATCAATTATTCATTACAGATGACTGCAGCCCAAGAAGCAGCCTGGGGTGCTGGAGGTGCAGGAGGATCCATTGCAGGATGATGGAGAAAAGCTGCTCTCAGGGTTTTCCAGAGTTCCTCATGCCCTTGGGTACCACTGCTCTGTGGTAGAGCCTTGGGCTGGCTGATGCACAGGCTGTGCTCTCTCATCCTTGCAAATTTGGCCTTTCTTTAGAACATCAGAGATGGAACCCTCTGATATGGAAGCACCCGTACTTGGTACCTAATAAAAAGTCTCAGCTAAAGTTAAGGGGAAAAGCTTGTGAATGTTCAGCTGAGTCAAAAGTTGCATCACCCAATGACATGGAAAGGCTTGTTAAAAATAACGCTTATACAGTGTTTTTTAAAGGTATTGGGGTGCTTTCACACACCCTCCCTAGAACCCCCATATTGCCACCCCCCCCCACACACACATCATGGCAAGCGAGTTTAGGTTACAGAATTAGCAGAGGAGTCTACAAAAGTGTAGCCTGCAAAATTAGCAGAGAGAAATAAATATATTTTCAGCTACTTTAGGAGAAACAGCTCCCCAGTGGATCAGAGGAGTAACACTTCTGGCATATGGAGAAGGAAACAAGAAGGCACTGCCAGGAGTAGGTGCATGAGGTGCAGACCGACTCTGTCAGCAACAGCTCCCTACTAGATTAGCTCTGCTACACTCAACCAACTACAGTCAAGATCTGAGCACAGCCAGGGATTTCCTAGGTCATTTTGAGCAGCAATATGTAAAGGAGAAACAAAAATGATCATGCTACCTATCAGCAAATCAGAATAGCAATGTCAATGAAGACTACTCTAAAACACAGCTCACCTAGAGAAAACACATCCTTGTATCACTGGCTTCTTTCAGCTTTTTAAAGATCCCTTGCAGGAGCTTGAAATTCAACAAGAGGCAATTAACAAGCACCTTTTATTAGTTATAGATCCACACTTACACTGGAGTGTGGCCATGGGTCACTTGTCTGACCTGGGCACATATGGCTGCTAATGAAAAGTCCTAAGCATCCTAGAGCTCCAAGAAATCATTAGATGACCTCCACCCAAGTCCAAGCAGATACAAATTCAAATAAAGTTCCCATAAATAGCACAAGCTGACAACCCAAGCAGAAAGAGGAAAAAAAAAAAAAAAAAAAAGAAAGAAAGGGAGAAATCAGAGCCTCAATTGCCATCTGGCCTTAGAAATGGTTTCTGTAGCTCAGAGGAGATAGAAATACACCATCAAAACACTTGTACTTAAGATGCACGTCTGAAAACAGAGGGAAAGATTCATTTCCCAGAGCTGCTGCCACTGGTCTCATTTAAGGTGATCTTGAGGAACTAACAGACCCAAGGTCTCCTGCATACCTGCCCTGACTCACCCTCAGGTCAGCAAGTCTCTCCACTTCACCACCTGGGAAACAAGGATCGCAGTTACCGCCTTCAAACCCATTCTACAGTGGGTTAATTAATGTCCTTGCATAGTTTTGAGCCCAAGTGTTTACCGTGTGGTAGTCGCTAATTACTAACGCAATTAGTACCTTAAAGCCACACAGTTGCAGAGAACTGCTCCGCCTAATTACTGACTTTGCACCTTGCCTTGCCTCTCTCTCCTTTGTGCCCGTGGAGGTGATGGCAGTCAGATCTGCCACCTTCCTCTTCCAACCGGTCCAATTAGAGAAAAAAAAAAAAAAAAAAAAAAAAGCCGTCTTATTTATCTGCCATTTTGCATTGTTAATCTACTTGGAGAGGGACACAATGTACACACACTCCTGGGCTGCAACACAAACACAAGGTGGTAAAAGCTCGGCGGTGGTGCAGCATTCCAGAGAGTTACTGCTCTGGTATGCACGCATGTACAATGGGCACTCTGTGCCGGCCTCCGCCCACAGGCTTTTAACCTCTCTCGTTGCTGGTTGGAAAGGGAAGGCTCTGGCAGACAGCTCCTGACTCAGTACGATGAGCCTGCAGCCACCAAGGGTGCGAGGAAGGGGCCACGGCCACCACACCACAGACACCAGCGCAATGAACCAACCCATTTGGTGCCTTGTGTTCAACGGGAGCCTAAATACAGCTCATGGCTCCCAGCCAAGGAAGGGTCTTTCGGGTTTTGAGTCACTGGGTAATATGTTTTGTGGAGGGTGAATAAAAACCCCGGTTTCTGCACCAGAGTCTGGTTGTGGGTCTTGGACCCAAACTCTGGGTCACAATGCCCAAATGCTCATCCCAGCTTGGCCATGTGCCTCCAGGTCAGCACAAACAAGCAACAGATGAATATTACAGCCATGTCAGATGAATCCGTGCCAAATCCACCTTAAAATCCAACTTAAAAATATTGGCCTGCTGCTCTGCCAAGAGCTTGCTGATGATGATATCACCAGACCAGCAGGTAGCAACAAATAACCCTGTGCTCAAATGCTGCACACAGAATTAACTGGGTCATTGTTTTAAGTATCTTCTTACTCTCCTCCAGGGTTAGTAGTTAAATGATTTGGGTGCAGGGACATCACACTCGTCTTTCTAGTTTGGGCAGGCTACCTGTGCTTCGACTAATTAGAAATAGCACTTCGGGCTTCTGAGTGTGTAACCTTTATTGGAAACCTCCCTACCTTCCCTCTCCAGGGTGCCTGCGAGCAGAATCACACAGTGGTTTGGGTTGGAAGGGACCTTAAAGCTCATCTAGTTCCACCCCATGCCACAGGCAAAGACACATTCCACTGTCCCAGGTTGCTCCAAGCCCTGTCCAACCTGGCCTTGGACCCTTCCAGGGATGGGGCAGCCACAGCGTCTCTGGGCCACCTGTGCCAGGGCTTCACCACATTCACTGGGAAGAATTTCTTTCTAATATACAAACTGAACCTGCTCTCTGTTGGTTTAAAGCCATTCCCCTTGTCCTACTGCTGGAAGAGCTCTATTTCTGTTTTAAACGCTATTTAAGCTCTGTTTCTATTTTAAACACCCAAGACATGGAGGCTGCCACCTGGAAACTGCCCTTCCAGGGCTCCAGTGCTCTGCAGCATCGAGTCCTGTTCAATAAGCAGCTACAGAGGTGTCCAAATTAGGCTCACAGAGGAAAGTGTTACTGCTAGCAGGCTTCCTGCAGTCAAGTTAAATTTAAGGAGGATAATTCACAGGTGAATGACAACAAATTTCACAGAAGTTGGCATTAGCTCTTAATTAGGGAGAGATTCACGCTTTCTCTGATAAGTACTGAGAAATAATCAAACGCCTGCTTGCTCAGCCTGGCTACCAGTGCTCAGGTTTCTTATCAGCTCCTTTGGGTCATACTGGATGTCTTCCATTAAGGGTTCTGAATACCTTCCCTTCTCCTGCCTCAGGCAACTGCTCATGCTTGTAAGTGTTCAGATGCCAGGGCTATAAAGTGATTAAAGTGAAAATTTGCTGAGGACAAAAACGGAGGTGAGAGCCCACAGGAGGTGGGGAGAAATCCACCTGTTTGGGTTTCTCCATGAAATGAAAGTGGACACAATAGTTGGCACGGCTTTTGTCCTAAGCTTGGACTTGACAATCTTGGAGGTCTTTTCCAACCTTAATGGCTGTGTGATTTTAAGTGTGAGAGCAACTGCATTAGTAACAAGCAAACATTGTTTTGAGACATGCAAGCAAGGCAGGTTCAGCTGCCCAATGTTTGTGCTCTTCCTCTGAACTGCTCTAGCACCAGGAGCATCAGCAGGGAGCTAGGAGCGATATTAAGAGGTGCTGCCCAAATCTCTTCTACGCTAATACCACTGTAGGTACTGAGACTTGCATTTTGGAGTCTGTGAATAAAATTACTCAGGTTGAAAAGAAAAAAAAAAAACTCTATTGAACAGGTTCAAGTGAGTCAAAACTGAGGCACAAGTCTGAGAGTGTTGTGGTGGATACAAAGTAGAGGTCACACCTTTTCTGGCCCTGCATCTATCAAGTTGCCTTTGGATCTCACGTTCTCCCATGGGACATACACTTAAATCCCTAATCTGTGCAAAATATCAGAAATCCTGGAAGCCTCTTTACACTCAGTCTTTCTAAAGCCATTCACCACAAAGCACTGGAGACTACACAACAGTATTTAATGATGAGGTATCACCTTTCACTCCCAAGGCTCCCAGGTTGCTTCCATGATTATATGTGCCACTGTTGAAATGCAGCTGCCTCTGGGGCAAAGGCCAATGGACAACCCACATTACACTCGAGGGAAAGTTTTGGTCAGATACCTGCTTTTATGAGAAGTGTCTGTGAAACTTCAGGATTCATCAAGGGACTTAGAGACCCAACGGCCTGGCATGGGGCATGTGGCAAGCTGCACTGGACTCGGCCCACATTAGGAGTAAAAAATGCCCCAACCTATTTCCTCAATATTCTTTTGCATAGAAAAAAAAATTAAAGGAAAATCAGAATTTTGTGTGTGGTTGTGGTCTCTGTTCACACACTGCCAGATAGCCAGCAGTATGACTTTGAGGGAGATTAGGAACAGGCACCTGAACACACTTCCATGGAACGGACTTAAAACTTTCTTCGTGGTAACTCAGAA